CTCTTTTGAAGCTTGCATCACTCCAAAACGGAAACATTTGTAATCACAGAAAAGAGACCAATTGTCATTAGAAGCTAAAATGATTGTCTTTCAGAGTTTCTGGAAAGAGTGTGGCTTCGCTAATACTTTGATATTAATCTTCTGTTGTGATAATAAAAACATCCATGTCTATAAAAGGATGAGTTTCTATTATTTTAAACTGTTATATTTGTGATTATTTCCTTTAGTAGCAATGAGGATCTTAAATCTTCAGGTGTTTAGTCAAGCTGCTGGTGGAGGAAGTATTTTTTCAGTAGATCTATCTTGTTCTCTTTCTTTCATATCAAGGAAGTATTTTATAAAAAGAATGTCTAGGTTAAGTCTACATTCAATATTATAAGTAGACTACAAACACCCCCCCCCAAAATAAACTAAGTTGAAGATATACTTTGTATTATGCAATTTATTTTTCTTGATTTAATTTTGAAAGATCTATAATCACATGGTGAGAATTAAAAATAAATTATTTAGCTTTATTTTCAAAATGTGGTCCACATTGATTTACCCAAATTATACCCTAAAAACAAAACAAAACAAAACAAAACAAAATGAGTGTTCTTGAAAGTGTTTGAATAGTAAAAAGTAGTAAAGGATATGAAGCTAAAAAATGTGTTTCTATAGCAGAGGTATAATTCTTCAGTTCCTAGAATCCTAGAAAAGATTTATGATTTGTTTTTGTTCTGGAAATTTATCCCAGGCTCTTTTGTATTCAAGACAAGCACTATATCAATTTAAGTATATCAAGAGCCCTAGAAATGTTGCATGATTATTGTGGCCTAAGAAAATCTTTTGAGTTTTTGAGATAGACAGTTCTGATTCTGAGTTCAAAACCTGAAGAGCCTCTTACTATCTGTGGTATTGTAAAATTTTATTAATTTAGAATAGATATACAAATATTCTCCAAAATAAAAGAAAAAAGTATAAAATGCAAATATATCTCTGATTTCATATTCTTCCCTATATCCCAGCAAATTGGCAATTCTCTTTTATAGTTGCACTTATCAAGAGTAAGTATCTTTTTGCCAATATGAGGATAAAAAATGGCTATTATATTATAGCCAGTAGAAGAGTGAAAATATGGAAATGTACTGGTATTGTGCTTAGACCTAAAGTGTCTTGAATTGTTTCAGTTTTTATCTTTTTAAACCTTGTCATCTTAAAAAGAAGAAGCTCATATTAGGCTTATAAAGGAAAAGAGGCTATGTGGATGAGAATGAAAAGACCACAGTGGACAGCCATCTCTCTTCCAGGAACAGGGTAACCATGTCAAATAGCAGATAATACACTTGTAAAATTTTTGCTGAAATCAGAATAGCTCAGACAAGTCCATTATAAATTTGGTTTGCACATAAGCTGTTCATTTGAATCATGAATTAGTAAGTTTGCTGGTAGTTTGTAATACTTAATAGCTTTTAATGCTTAGTAGCTTAAAATACAATTAATAGAAACAGGAAGTCAGAATTCAAAACATTCTCATTTCAAGTTATCTGCCTATATTTTGGCATGTAAGAAGCACTGAATTTATTTTTCTTGATTTAATTTTGAAAGATCTATAAAGTAATTTTGAGTAATGCCAAAATGCATGTAGACATAAAAATGTTATTAGTGCTTTAACTCACAGCATACTCTACAACAAAAGATAAACCAGGCAACCATAGCTGGATTACTAAGATGAAGGCCCAATGGAAAAATTTTAAAAAATTAATCTTTTTTTTCACAACTAAATTTTACTATCAAGGTATAGATAGACATGAAGACATGCGGACACTTCCCCCTGGATTTTCATCATCCATTGTTTGCTGTCTAATATATGAAAAGTTACTGACCTTAACAGTTATCAGTTTGGAAGAATGGCCTGCTTTAAGCAACTCTCATC